CTAGAAAGGCGGAACTCAGTATGCCCGATATTGTAATGTCTGGCACCACCATCCTCACCAAGCCCACCATATCTAAGCTCGGTATTTCCATCAGCAACACTCTTTCATGGGATAATCATGTCAGATCCATCGCAAAAGCTGCTTCACAAAAACTCGGATTCTTGTTTCGTGCGGAAAGATACTTTACACCTCAGCAGCTTCTCATGATCTACAAAGCGCATATACGGCCTGTTCTAGAATACTGTTTCTACATATGGGGTTCGGCACCAAAACATACGCTGATGCTCTTAGATTCCATCCAGAGAAGAGCCATTCGCCTGGTGGGTGAACCCACACACACTCACTCTTTGACATCATTGGAACACCGTAGAAAGGTCGGCGACCTTTCACTTTTCTATCGATACTCCCACGGAAAATGTTCTTCAGAAATCTCTGCTATCATCCCTTCACTAGCAATACCAGTCAGACGAACTAGACAAGCCCAGTCAGCACATCCTTTCGTTGTTAACCTCGAAAGATGTCGAACAGCACTTTATCAAAACTCCTTCATCCATAAAACGGCTAGGCTCTGGGATTCATTGCCTGAGGAAGTATTCCCGACAACATACAATCTCCAGAAGTTCAAAAAAAATCTTATACCTACCTCCTGTCCCTATCCTCCCTAGGAACGCACGATGTTCTTTGAACATTTTGGGAATTTTCTTTCGTGCGCTCCAAGCGATAATAAGAATAAATTGTTATGAATGATTCTGTTCGTATTGTCAGAGTTGAGTTATTCAAGTAATTCGTGTGAGCATTCATCAACAATTAGAAGCGTTGCATTGAATGATTAAGTGAGATACTTCTCATTTACTTTGCAGTACTCAACTAATCCATCGATTTTGACAATAAATGATCAGAAATAAGTAGAACTGATAGCGTTTTTCCTTTGGAATTCCGAAAAAACATCGATGATGGAAAGAAATAGGTCGAAACACAGTCAAATCACCCTGTACGATACATGGTTAAATGCAAAATGAAAAGAACTCTCAGAATCTGTGAAATAATTATGAGGACCGATTTTGAAAAACAAAAATTGATGATGGTTGTACGGATACGAAACGTCGTTCAAAAAAAAATCGGTATCACGACGTTACACGTCATCGAAATTTGCTTCAATGGAAAACTCTCGGTTTTTTGTAAGTATCTCTTATACAGGGTGGGACATATACCGGGTGATCAAGATTCTGAATTCTGCACCACCCTGTATTTGTTTCAATTAAATGTCAGTAGATAGTTGATCAAGAGTTTAGATAGGGACATGTAAGCCGTTATGCCCAATTATGGATGGTTTAGACACAAAAAATTCCTAAACCTGGAAAATCTCGATTTCTCACACCCTATATCTCAGTAATTATAACTGCTAGACCCCAAGTATGATGGATTGTTGAAATCAGCTCACCAGGGAGAATCTCAAAATGAAATGATATATAGGGTGTTCGATTGAAAAAAGTTCAACTTCAGTGTTTTGTGATTTTTGGGGAACAGGAAGTTTCAAAATAATTTCAAATGGTAGCCTATGTTGACATGCAACTTCCTAGAGAGGAAGAATTCCAAGAAGATAAGTGGTTAGCCGTCTAGAGACCGAGGCGTTACTAGTGGCCCACCCTGAATAGAGGAGAAAAAAAAAATAGATTTTTTCGATATAACTGAAAAACTAAAAATAATTCTGAAAATTTTTGAAAGCTGTTGGTATGAGCCTTCGAATGCGTAACTCTTTCCCTATTGAGCGACTTCGCATCGCCTTCTATTTCCAAGATCCTTATGCTGTGCAACCTCATCTTGGACAGACTGCATATACTAAGTAGATATGTCTTCAATATTTCTCGACGATCTTCAACCCGCACTTCATTTTTCTGGAAACTCAATAATTCCTATACTGAAATGCCAATCATTCGACCATCAAATTCAGAGCTCATTATATCAATATGGGTTCAATTTCATTTTTGAAATAACACTATTTCAATATTGGAATGCTAATCATTTGACCCTTATATGAGCGTCATATCATTCACATATAACTGTTGTTTCACAGTTATATGATTTTCGATATGATTTTCATATGATCAGAGTGAAAAGTAATCTATGCTGGCGACTATTCAGTTCAGAAATCTTTCGAAAATAATAAAGTTTCGTATAACAGCTAATAGATATTTCACTAGGTGCATGTATGGGGATATCAAATATATCTTCATGTTTCTATAATTTACGCGCGCACTGTATAATAACGAACAAATTTGATGTGATGAATTATCAAAATGCTGCAATAAATAAAAGTTTCAGATAAATCTTCCTGAAACCGTGCAGAAAAGTTTTTGTTTCGCACGATTATTACTGTTTCGACCAAGTCCTACTTTTCCGCAAGATGAGTCGATGAAATCGTGCAAAAAATGCACTTGACAGCACTTGTGCTGTATATCCACTCTTTGGAACGATTTCTGTACTGTTCAGAATGAGAATACTATGTACCTCATGAGTCAGTCTTCCATTCCTTAGCTCGACTGAATCTAATTACAGAGTATTTTTGTAGTTGTAGTCATATTTAGGTGACTTATTTCCTCTGAACTTCACGGTTGACAATACTGCCAATTGAATTAGTTTTTGGAAATTTCTTCTGAAAAAAACACTCGCGAACTATTCGTTGAATATTTCTGGGCCCATAACCTAATGGCAGAGTATGTTTGTAGTTGTAGTCATATTTCGGGCAGAATAAGGGAGCAGTAGATCTCAGTAAAGATAGCGCCTATCGACCAAGAACCAAGCACATCGACGTGAGGCACCACTTCGTGAGAGAACAACAAGTGCTAGGGAATATAAGGGTTCAGCAAATCGGATCTAATGGTATGCTAGCAGATTCACTCACAAAAAGTCTCATTGGTGAAAAATTCAACCTCAATGTAGTTCAGATGGGATTGAAGTAATATCCCATAAAGGGAGGATGTTGGAAACTGTGTTATGGAACATTACTCCACCCTGTATTATATATTATGATATTGTATTTAATCAATGTTGTACTTGTCATTGTGATTAATGATTTTGTTATACAAACTTAAATAAAAGTCAGTTTCCTGAATAATAAAATTATATAAAATTTTTACTAATTTGATCATCTGCTCAGGCTACAAACATACTCTGCCATTAGAATCCATCGCGAGAACTCGTGTAATAAATCAACATTTGTAACGTGGTATTATTACTGACAATTTCATGCAGTTATCGAATGTATCAATCAGAAACATGACTCTAGACTCTGATTGGTCACTCAAGCTCAGTGTTTTCAATGTGTATGTGATAGTTCATCCTCAAATATTAGTCATAACGTTGTGCACACATTTGAAAATGAGCAGATTTCATTCAACTCAGTGAACAGTATCACGAATCATGTATTGCAAATATAACAAATTATAGCAATCAAGATAAGAGAAAATCTATTGCAAGGGTACGAGAGGGTGTTCAAATGAGCGGACTCAAAGTATTCCAGTAGACCGTTTCTAATCATGATTCGAAAATATGTTGGTACATGATCATATTACTTGTTTATTCAGATTTGAATTCCGTTCGATGTGAATTTTTTCTGTTCATTAAATTTTATACTACCGAATATCATACTTTTAACCTTCCACTCCGTTTGTAAATCATTCTAATGAAAGTCCACTCGTGATCGAATTCACCTTATGAGTATGTCTTCCATTCCTGCGATCAACTGAATTGGTCCAAGGTAACACGATGGCGGCTCGGTGGTCGAGAGCGTGAATGCGCTGAGTTCGTATGGGGACTCCCACCGAGACATAGGTTCGAATCCTAGTTAGGCCATGGATGTTTGTGTTTGTATGCTTACCTAATCCCGCACAAGTTCCGACCTATGCAATGGCAAAAAAAACTCTCGTCCTGCTTGCTCGTGCAGCCTTCTCGGTCAATTCAGATTCGTTCAAAATTGAAGCGAAAGACTCATCACGATAATTCGATCACACGTGCTATAACTATTGATAATTTGAATGTCTACAATTGATACGATGAAATAGCGAGAGTGAAATTTATTCAGGAAATAATTGAAAAAAATCGGTACTCAATGCCGACATCTTGCATTTGAAACAGTGTTCGATCATTCGCCCTATTCTTGAAAGTTTATGTGCTCAAAGATTTCCATATTATGGAATGAGAACTTCTACTGCTTTTCTCAGGTTATATTTCGATCATTTTTTGCCTAGATCAGAGTGTCTATATACATATCATAATACTGATTGTTCAATTACAATTGTACAATTGTACAATTGTTCTTCTTGTCCAGACATAATAAAAATAATAGAGTATTCACAAAAAAAAACAGCGACAAGAAAGTTTATTTCCTCGAATAATATATCATTGCTTTATTAGTTCCTCAATTAAATTTCGAACAAGCTCAATGAATACATTTATCCCTGATGGACTTCTCCACAAACTACCATCGTACGGCTCACCACCACAGCTATTTTTTTTTTGTTACTAACATTATGTTCCTACTACATATATCATTGATTTGTTGGGAGTAACATTCGCTCCATCCATACTGTGTTCTCTTCCAGAATTACTATTTCTCCCCAGGAAACTAAAAATCACGACAAAGGCAGGTCAACGCTGTCATCTTGAAACTTCAAGCTATCATTAAAAAAAAAGTGTCTATCTCCCATATGAATTCCTCAAATTTCGTTTAGATATACCAAGTGGTTCGAAAATGAAAAGGAGTAGAACGGACTTCCGGCAGACATCTTATATAACCTTTTCATCCCAGAAAATCATAGATCTCATGCAGAATAAAAAAAAATGATGATCTATTCATCACTCTTTAAGGGATCATCCTTTGTTACACTTTCCATAAGGGCCGTATTTCGGTATATGACTAGTATTCTTGATGAAAAATAACATGAATATATGAAAATATGCTTTTCTGATGAACAACCTCTGTACATCATTTTTCATTAGCGCACGTACCTCACATGACTTGATAACTGAGAGCCAAACGTCTTAATTTGTCATATAAATGTCATGTCGACTTGGCATCAGCCTCTTACTGAATTACCGTGATATGATATAATCACAAATTTGTTCGTGGATTTAGGGGGTAATGAAGAAACTATTCTTGTGAGATTTAGTGGGAATTAAAATTCACAGCTGAAAAAACGAGATTCTGAAAATTGAACATGGCCTATCCGAGACCTAAAGCTGCCACGCCAAGTATCAAAGCTGATTTCAAGCTCATCAACTACCAGGATTATGATGACTTTCTGCTCTCATCAGGCACAACTCAAGATAGATGTTATTTAGACAGTGAGGAAGTCACCCGGCAGTTTGCGGAATTAGGCTACAGGTAAATAAATGCTGTAGATTCATGAGAGGTTTCTTTACCATCATCCTTCATCTCTTGAAGTGTACGATAGGAAATCCTTATGATTTTCGAAAAAAATCATGCGTACCTAGGAAGGAAAGGGAGGGGAGGAAGGTATTCAAATCTTTCCACCTATTGGAGATTATAAGTTCTCAGGAATACTTCCTTTGGTAAAGAATTCCAAAGCTTTGTTGTTCTTTCAATAAACGAGTACTGGAAAATTATCGATTGACATAATTCAAGGTTGGCAACAAGAAAATGTGCTAACTGATCTTGTCCATAATCAATCGAAATAGTTGTTCTTCAATAATAATTGAAGAAGTATGTATCGCACATACCATAAGCATCGATATTTTCTTTGATGAATCACAAAGTACCCTCCACCATTCAAATTGAGATCTTGTCCATGATGAAATGTTATGAAAATTCGAGATTGTATTAAATCATGCTGACCAAGGAATGTCTCCTGGTTCAAGGCCGGTTATACCCATTAAAAATATTTATGAGCTCTTGAAGTCAAACGATGTAACCTCTACAAGAACAGAGGAAATTCTAGACAAGCATACTGATTCATGGTTGATATTCAGATCCCATTTACAAGTTTCAATTCATTTTTGGGAGTTCGGTGACTTCAGATTATTATAGTCATCTGAGCGAGTTTACTTCGATATAATTTGTTTTTCCCAATGATGTAACTGAGGAAACTAATATCATTCCAGCATTACCTTCAGGTGGTGAGGAGTGTTGAGGTTGTTGGTCACCTGTTTATATTTCGGTACCCATATGAACACTTCTGCCAAAGAACCAAAAATGATGCTCATCCATTGGTGATCATGTCTGCTTAAGAATGACCCATCATTGGCAATTTTGGGAAGATTAGGGCAGTATAAGTAAGAATTTCGTGAGTATCGAGACTGGACATGTTGGGAATAAAATATACTTCGATCGATCGATATCTTCGACCATCAACGATCAATAAGGGGCAATTTTTAGAAATGCTGGAAAACCAATCCTCGCGAGAGTTTTACCTTGAGCATTAAGGCTTGACAACTTAATATCCAAAAATATTCTCATCGATCGATGTGTCTTGCCCGCTCATGACTCATCAATCCTAGCGTATATAGATGATTGAGCCTTGACATTCGCTTGTTGAAAAAAAGGCTAGAGGCTAGTGTTTAGGGGTTGCACAAGATTTGGACCATCAAAGGCCACATTTTCCACTATAGCTGATTGAGGACACCTTGAATAAAATCAATTACTGCTTCGTATTGTGGGTTTTCTTCACAGGTTCCCGTTTATTGCTGGCAGTTCTAGTTTCTTGGGAAAACTTACTACTCATTGCTCGAGCTTCTAGTATTCTTTTTTGTGTTTCAATGGCGCTCGATACCTGAAAGATTTTTTTTGCGAGTTCCTATTGTTTTTTCGTCAACTTCCAGACTATTGATGATTGATGTTATTGATTCGGTATTTTGCCCGCCCGAGTGTGAAAGTTAGTTTTAGACCCGCATTATCGGGCATGAAAGTTTAACTTCACCCCTGGGTGACAAAAAGTTGTTTCGATTCTCTGCATGTGCAACCTTAATACTCAAAGTGGAAATCATTCAAGAAAAGTTTTCCAATTGAAAAAAATCACCATGATGGTCATTGATCAGCAGACGAATCGATTGAAGGATAAGAGTTGTTTTAGAACCTCTGGCATGATCAAGCTCAACCGTGAATTGACAAATCACACAAGGTGTGAATTTTTCAAGATGTCCATGGGCAAAAGCACGCAAAAAGGTACCAAAATATAATATGGTGACCATCGACCTGAACATTCTTAGCCACCAAAAAATAATGATGAAACGATAATTTTGTATCTCATTCACATTTTGAACAACAACAAAATTCGAATTAAACCTGTTCAGGTGACTTGAAGGCGCCAAGAAGTCACTAAACCTCCTGTAGTGAATGAAATTCGATCATTCAACAGGAATCAGATTTGTTATGGTTAACAATGTTCACACTCAAACATACACTCATAACCTATTCCCGTCTGAAATTTCATCTGTTCTGGTAGAGATTATCTCGTTCTGCTCCAAGGGCACATAACTTCTTTCCATTGGCACAACGGGTCTTGGACTAGTGGACATTTCTTGTTCAGCATGATTTATTTTGATCCATCTAATCCTAGATTGTTACAACATTTCACCATAGACAACATTTCAATGTTAATGGTGCGGGGTCCTTTGATAATGAATATGTGAACCTGCCTCTATTTGAAAAAAAAATATTCACGAAATTTAAGATCTAATTGGAAACAGTGTGCTGCTCACTTATCTTTTGAAAGTAAAAATCTCATGAGATATACCATTATCAATCAAAAACACTTGTTACTCGAAATATCTCATAACACATTTCAGAAATGTATAACCTCCTCTTCTCGGCGCTTTTTAGAGTGAACGTAACCATTTTTCTTCTTGTTATCCACTGTACACGATACTCCAACAATATGAAACGTGCCTCATTGCCATTTATTTCCTTCCCTATCTCTATAAAGAGTCATTCGATCTCAACCAAATTTGACTAATGTTAGGAGGGCAAGTCATCAGAAATGTTTTTGTCTTTTCATTATATTGAGAACAAAACAATGTTTTTTTACCCCAGAATACTGTCGTCCTCTATGCATTCGGTTGTTCAAATTGAATTGTAGTTTCGCACATCTCATCATGTTCAGTTATATAGACTCAACATAAAGGGTGAATGATACATATCTGATCAACCTTTCACTTGGTCTTCGAGTTTTCATATTTAATGAAGGATGGAGAATAGTTATCATGACCTCTCGGTATCAAATCATCAGGATTGATATAATGCATCCTTCATGCAATTATCGAAACATGTATCGTATGTTTCGAAAAAATGACTTGTTGCTCCGTTGTTTCTTGGGATGATGAAGTCAATGAAACATTCAATCACCTGCATTCAAGATTTCCATCTCATTCTCTCAGGTTCATGAGCAGTACTCCTCGAAGATCACAAAGCAAATCGAATTCTGGAATTTACATACATTATCTCAACATGCGGAATTGTATACCGGGTGGTGAGGTACTGTATCTCAGGAACTAATAGTCGTATAAATTCGTGAAAAGGATCATTCAGAGGAAATTGACCAAGGAAAATTGCAGGAAATATGTTTTTGATCCATAGGTAAACTGCTATGGAGCGTAATAGGTTCGATCGTAGGAAAAATGGATATATTTCGAAAATTTTCCTTTATCACTTCAAAAATGAATACTCTCACGTCAATGCCACCATAATGGTCCCTCTTTTTGATCAACATTGTAGGACGTTGAATGAAGGCGGCAAAGAATTATAAACTTTTTGGACTGCAAATGTTGATAACTCAAGATTGACTTGACCGAATTTTGCTTACAAGGTCTGGTTCAGTAGAGGAAGGTTTAGTGAATATACTAAATTACCATAAATAATGATGAAGATGGAAAGCCCGTATCATCCATGCCATCCTGGTTTTTGTCGCCCTTGCAAGGAGAAGAATTTTTCATCGAAAACTCAAATTGAACCATATGATCATTTCATTAGATTCGGAAAGGAGATCAAATTTGCAACCGCATGTCAATATCTTTATTCGTTTAACAGTTATGGCTCAGAGAATAATGATCTCATTTTATGAAATACCTACTTGAAGAGAATAACAATCAAACATTTGCCAAACATTAGAAGAATCTTGCATTTTCAATGATGATTTCGCATGTAGGAATTGAGGTATAGGTACTGAATTCAAACTGGAGAAAAATAAACTGTTGTCTATGGATATAGTGCATAGACTACATTGCATTCAGCTTGCTGTAGCTGTAGTCAAACTTGACAATGACATAAAGTGTTGGCACTGTTGGTAGTGATGATGGTTGAGTTTGTGAATTTTTTTACATTATTACATTTTTATTAGTTTAGTGAACAGTGAACGGGTGAAGAATTGGAGGAAGTTCAAAAAATTCAAACTAATTATGACGAGCAAATCAATCGACATATTATAAAAAAACAGCTACAACATGTTCACAATACCCAGATTGTCCTTCTTTGCAGGAACATATTATTATACAAATCCATCGTTCAATTTAACTTCATGTGGGAAAGATTTCATCGCCGAAGTTTGTAGACAAAGTGCAACAATGTGCCTTTTGTTGAAGTCTTCTGCCTCACACAAAATCACATAATTAGTACGGAAAACTGCTTCTCCTTCCACTACTGGTCGGCTTTTTTCATCTGAATAGAGCAGAATATCTGCCAAAAAAACATCAACAACAGGCATTATTAGCGTTTCCGATCGAATATCGACAATTAATGTCAAGAAATTCAAAAACTTATCAATCTTATCAGTACACACTACACAGTACACAAGCTCCAAGAGTTTGTTCTCCCTTAATTTTGACGTGGCTTTGACATGGAACGATGAAAACCGAGCGCCACCTGGTAACATTGATTCCCGCGAATAGAGAATAGGGACGTTGAAAATTTGTTGTGAGTTGACAGTGTCATGTGAATATATTATAAAGTAATTATGAACCACTTGTCAAAAACAAATTCACACTCGTTCGCGGGATTCTGGGTGGAAGAATTATTGGGCCACTTTTTTTTATCATCATAAATGACGTAACTCATCTTCAATTTTTGGAAGGCGAGTTACCCATACTATCAGAAAATATTCCTCTGGAGGACATCAGAATACAATACAATACAATACAATTCAATATTTGATTCATCCCAAATAGATCACTTCACAATGATATAGGATATGTCATAAAAATTTATATAGGTATCAATACAAAATACAATATACAGGGTGTTTCATTGGGAAAGGTAAATAATTCGACTGTGGATAGGGGTCACTGGGGTGATTTAAAAAAACCCATAGTTAATGGGTCTTCGATTTTTTATAACCGAGATTGTCTCATAACTTTCCAACCAACCTGTATATATTTTCAAAAATTGGTACACTTGCTCAATCTACCCTGTGGAATTTATTGAGTCAACAACAAAAGATAAAATCCAGGTCCGGCTTCACTTAAAATTCACAAATTCTTTCTGCCAGAAAACAACACCCTATACATTCGAATTTCTCATTTTTTTGCCATATCTGAAAAGAACATCAAAATCTCTATTCAACGATGTTCTTTTTATTCGTGCACAGACGATTTTAACTATTCATATTATGTGCTCAAAATATTATTTTTGCTCATTTTGGGGTACAAAATTGGAATCAGACGAGATTTATTAATTTTATTACTTCCTATTAAGTATACGTGAGTATTACATTTAGAAGGAGTATTTCATATCGTTCTTTGTTCCAGACTTAGTTGCAGGTCCGTCATAAAAACTATACAGGGTTCTTCACGATGAGCGTTAATTTGACGTTTTCAGCAAACCAGGCATGGAAAATTATGAGACAATGAAGATATTTGCCAAAATTGATGAAACATCCTGTATCTCGGTTATAAGAAGTCGAAGACCCATCAACCATGGGTTTTTTGAAATCACCTCAGTGACCCCTATCCACAGTTGAATTATTCACCTTTCCCAAAGAAACACCCTGTATAATACATATGAAACGTTCACTTTTGTAGATATAATATGTAAAAAAAAAATTAAGAAAGAAATGTAGTGGGAACATTATATAACAAAAGATTACAAACAATAAAAACATTTTAAGATTTATAATTGAGGAATTCATAGGTTGAATAAAAATCCTCAGAGGCTAGTAATGTCTTGACTCTTCTTTTGAAAAGGTGGAGTGAAGTTATTGTTTTAATTTCGGTAGGCAGACCGTTGAAATACCTTATACCAGAAAATGGAGGTGATTTTTCGAATAAAGTTGTTCTGTGTTTTTTTGTTCTGAGCAAGTCACTACTTCTTGTTGGATATCTGTGGGACTGAGAGTTTGTTCGTAACTCACTTTGCATTTTTTCATTTATACAACACAGTGATATATGTAGATACATGGTGTTGTAAGTATTTCGAACTCCTTGAATTTGGGTCTACATGAATCGGTTCGTTTTGAATTGAATATAAATCGTATAACACGCTTCTGAGCTATGAATACTATGTCAATGTGGGTGCTACTTCCCCATGAAATGATGTTGTAAGATATAATAGAATGTATCAGGGCATAGTACACGTCAAGAAAGGCATTTTTATCAAGTATATTTCTCAATTGAAACATTGCATAAGTTTGAGCTCAGTTTTTTACAGCTCATATTATTAACGACAAATGTTCCTAAAAATTTGGTAGATTCAGAAGAAGTGATACGCGTATCGTTAACAAAAACTTCAAGTGTTGTCCTCATCTTTCTTTCAGAAAACCCGATAAGTACTGTCTTTTTGGCATTAATCATCAGCCTGTTATTATGACAAGTATAACAAACCTGTTGGCAGTTGAATTTATTTTATTTTCGAGTTCCACGGTACTGTCTGCTGCATCCGCGATAGATGTGTCATCGGCAAATAGTACTAAACAACCCGCATCAATGAATTTTGGAATATCATTGATGAAAAGTGAAAATATCGAGGGCCCTGAAACCGACCCTTGTGGGACACCAAGGTCGACATCAAAAATTTGAGATTTAGTTTGTTCTATCTGAACAATTATTTGTCTATATTGGATATATGATATTATCCAAGACAAAAATACTCCTCTTATGCCCAAAACATGATATGTGGTTCCAACAGGACGGATGCCCAGTTTAGGATCCTCTGCCGCCTTCATTCAACGTCCTACAATAAAATAATTTTGATCAAAAAGATGAAATATTATGGTGGCATTCACATGGGTGTATTCATTCTTGAACTTATAAAGGACCATTTTCGAAAAAAATCGATTTTCCATACAATCGAAGTTATTACGCCCCCTAACGGTACGACAATGGGTTTAAAAAATATTTTTAGTCATTTTTCATTGGTCGATTCCTCATGAAGGATTTCTTTATCAAACTTCTACGACTATTATATAGTCCCTGAGTTACAGTACCTCGTCACCCTTGATGAATCACCCGGTATAGCACATTTATGAGATATAAAAAAAATAATTGATTTTTAGGAGTACTGGTGAAGCAATAACTAGAGAAGAGTTCAAGAAACGTGTAGCAGCTGTCAACAGATATCTCAATCCTCGATATGAACCATTCGTGATGGCCAGCGAAAGATTGGAAAGCCATTCAGAGCCAGTTTTAGTCGAGTTGGCATTGAGAGAAAGAGCCAATAGAGTTGGGATTATTTCGGTAATAAACTGAATATCATGTTGAAATCTTGTACTCGAATTGGGGTTGAATATTGTAATGACTTTTTTGGTGTTTCTGAACATTGAACAATATTTCCCTATAACACGCAGAATTGATTCTCGAAAGTTTCGAATCGCTATTGAATATTCAACAAGTCGATTCATCGCACCAGGTTATTGAATATTTTCTCACGATTATATTATCATCTATCATTGACCTTATTGTTCCATCTGATTCTACTTTGTGAGGTTAAAATGATATTACTCTCCTAATTATTTTGAATACACCGAAATTCGCTTGTTCAATCACGAGACAGCTTAATTAACTTGATATTTTTCACTGAAATCTGATTAACCATGCCTGAAGACAAAAGAATGATATCCATAAATTAACTATATTTTGATTTGTTTCCAGACGATCATCTTCTTAAGGTGCATAGAAAAGGGAGTGGAAATTTCTGGTTATATAGATTATGCACACCGGCTAGGGAGTGAAGATTGGAAACCCATTTTCACGGGTAAGGTTAATAGCAGGAAAATGAAGTATCAACGATAAAACCCAAGATTCGTTAGGGTATCTACAGGGTGTTCCAGAGTTGTGGTGTTAAAAGCCTAGGGCGAAGATTCATCTGAACATAATATGACATGAAGTTCAAATGGACTTAGGTCAGAAAATGATGTGTTCCTATAGATATAAGGTGCGTCCATGCTTGGAAAAAACTTGTTTTTTATCAATAATTTCTCATGAGATTTTAAGATCGAATAAATTTCAGAGATGGAGGAGAATTTTAACTTTGTTTTCTTCTCTTGAATAATAATCTGAAATGCCCTTTCGGAAAATATTTGAGTATTTTCATTTTTCATCATGAAATTCACAGATTTATGTCAAGCGGTATTGTCAGTTATTTTCAAAAACGGAGCAACATAAGAAAAAATAGGAATGGACAGAAATGTTGTATTTATAGTGGATTTATTTGAATTGTTGAGAAGGAGCCGGAAAAAAAAACACGAGGATACTTTTTCTTCAAGAAGAAAAAAGAGGCCGACTTGCACTAAGGGTACGCCCCTCGCGATTCTGGATCGAATTCAATAGGTCCAGTAAATGTCTCATTTTGTTGAGAGGTATCTTCCCTATAGGCTCTCGTCACCATAAATCTGAAACACCCTGTATAAGTTTCTTGTTACATGAATATCCATTTCGGGATGAAGGTATGGTCGTTCAGAAAGATTGAGAGATAATGTGTTGGCGTAAGTAAATTATGTTTTATGAAAGATTATCTGGGGGTTTTTGAATGAAAATTCTTCTGATTTGTTATACAGTGTGTTCCATAACTAATATACGCATGGTTGATATATCAAACATAGAATCTTGAGCACAAAATAATGAGATTCAACCCAAATCATTCAGATGAACTGTGTCTTCTTTTCGAGTTACATACAGGGTGTTTCAGTTTCAAAAAATATCATTTGGGTAAGGAATGCACTCCAAGAACCCATAACACCGCCATAATCAATACACAATGAGATCAAAATAATTGTGCAGCTCCATGTTTTGAAATACCTATATCAAAAAATAATCATTATCATGTTTCTCTTCTGAAAATATTCCAAGCTGCATTCATATCGACTTCTGAATATTCATTGTACTTTTTGGAATGATATTCTCTACAGTATTTTCGATATTTTATGAAGATATTTGATCTTGTCATTTTGAAATGATGCTCGCATTGAAAACTCGAATATAATCTGACATTATAGAGTCGTCATAATGGTGCGTATGAATTTAATGGATGCATGCTTGATCATATTTATATTGTTTCGTTCTGGAGGAAGGACACATTTGACTTAAACTGAACTGAGTTTGTCGACATGCAATGAACGTGATTAGGAAGAACGCATATCAACTGATTATTCCCCAAATAACATCAAAAGTAGCCTTTCAATAACACTTGACAGACACGAAAGATTTATTCTTACCGCAAAAAAAGTTTGTTGCTGTGCAACGTTCCAAGTAATAATTTGAATCAAATTGATAATCAAAATTGACACTGACATTGGGTGAAATGATGAAGTTTCAAATGAAAAATATTACACGAAATTGGTTTCATAACTCCACGACTACAAACTACAACAGGGCACTCTTAAATGTAAAACCCTCACAGCCGATAAGATTTCCACAAAATTCTCAAACACACGACATGTTTCGCTAACACAGTAGCTTCGCCAGGTGATATACTGGTACAATAATGAACTGAACTAATATTGGCTTGCTTAACTTTTATATATCTTGTAACGTGAAAATTGCCTTTCCTCGAATTTTCAGTTCCATCTTTATAATTCACGTATAAAAGCATTGACACACTGTATCTGATATCCTTTATTTATATTCCATATTCACATGACACTAGATAGTATTGATGATCCCCTAGGTGATCAGACTTCTACGACCTGAAAATACAAGTAAATATAACAATTTGATCAAATAACAATTAGAAAGTACTCACCTGGTTCAGAATGTTCCTCCAGCCTGGGTCTGATTTATTTGCTTCAGGGATTACTTCCAAGACGTTGACTTTGATGGGTGTTTGGCCTCTGTGCATTATTTAGCTGGTATATTTCCTTTTTCTACCATGTTTAATGGTCCTTGTACTTAAATAAGTAGTTTCAATGATTATTGTTTTGTTTACCATTGTTGAATTGTCATTGAAATATAGGAATGTCATTAGACGTTTTCTACAAGTCGTTTGCCAATTGTCACCTGACCTACACCGAACCTGCAGCGAACAGTTGGACGGTAAAGTGAATTACTGCAGCCAGGATAGTTTTATAACTTTCAGGGTACTGGCGCTAGTCATCCATTTGGAAGGCGAACAACAATGTTTCGTGTATTTGTCGAGGTCGTGTCGCATCTGTTCATTCTGGCCCTGTGGAATCCTAGTCGGAAGAAGTCGGGGATGATCGTTTGTTTCGTAGCTGTCATTTCATTCTGGGCGAATCACAAGTCAGTATTTTAGTAACATATAGGGCGCTTAAAGCCATCCTGTATTTCCTCTAGTGCGCAGAGTTTTTATATGAGTTGTATCCTGTTTTTTATTGTTAGTTTTTGGGATGTAAAGTTCTGAAAAGGAGCAGGAGGCTATCCCTTCCAAAGTGTCGAGACGCCACTTCGACATTCATTCTCGGCAAGATGGGCATGGCTCATTATTTCGTGGTGAACCTTTCCACAATTGAGGCCTTTTCTTCTTGGGGTAAGTTTTTGAACATTGAAAAATCAAGTGGTTAATTCCTTCTGTTATAAACTGCTCCACATTTGAAGTGAGACAAGCAAACATTTTGTTTGTTTTCGAACCGTGATAACTTTGGATGAGATCAACCGATCTTTGATTAGTTTTGAGATTGTGATTGCCCAGTTGATTGGCTATAACATATTTTTTTTACGTTTCTCCACCATTTCGGAATTATGACCTACAGGATGATATCTGAAAGTGTGATACTTTCCGAAAAGTTTGAGGTCGCCCCGTTAGCAGGATAGTTTTTTTAAAATTTTTCTGACGGCAAAAACATGAATCCCAACGTGTTTCCTCGAAATGGTTTCGGATTCATCAAGATCTATACAGGATGTTTTGAGATATGCAATTTAGAACAACATAATGGCTATTCGAATTTTTTGAATACCTTAAATTCATTGGTTAACCCCTCGGTATAATATGTTGTCTGGGAAATAATCAGAAATTGTCAAACATTTTATTATTGTTATAAAATATGCCACGACTAACTAATGAACAATTTCAAATGGTTCTCAGAATGAGAGATGGTGGTTTGAATGTTGAAGACATTGGACATTATTTCGATACATCAAGAGCTTCAATATACAGGGCAATCCGTCGTCACGATCGAACAGGAGATCCTAATTATCGTCACGGAGGTGGACGACAACGGAAGACTTCAGATAGAAATGATAATTTCTTAGTTACTTCGGTACGTCGTCTTCGAACACAGACTGCTGGACAACTGAACTGTGCACTAAGAAATGCAACAGGAGTTGTTGTCTCAGATGAGACAATCAGAAGAAGGCTTCATGAGCGCAATCTGAGAGCGAGAAGGAGGGCATCTTGTACTTTGTTAAAGCTGAACCACAGGATAGCTCGAAGACTTTGGGCTCAGAACCATTTGAACTGGGGAATAGCTGATTGGAGGAGATGTTTATTCGTTGATGAGAGTAGGTGTAATATGTTCAGATCAGAGGGAAGGATTTTAGTATGGCGAGAACGGGGTGAGAGGTTTCTGGAGGAAAACATGGAGGCGCGGGTGGCATTTGGGGGTGGGGGTGTTACGATATGGGGCGGTATCATGATGAATCATCGCACCACGTTGGTTATTTTGAGGAAAAGTATGAATGCTGTTCGATATCGTGACATGTGTATAAGAGATGTTGTTATACCAGTTGCTCAAAACTTTGGAGACAATTTCGTACTGGTCGATGATAATGCACGACCACATCGTGCGAGAATTGTAACCGAAGTTCTGAGACAACATAATATTGAAAGAATGGAATGGCCACCCGTATCTCCAGACATAAACCCAATTGAACATGTATGGGCTAGGTTAAAATTATATTTGAAGAGAAGAGAAGGTGAAATGATGAATATTCAACAACTGGAAGATGCGATAGTGGAAGAATGGACAGCAAATCCCCAAGATTTCATTGATGGCTTGATAACAAGTATGCCTAGAAGAGTTAGGGCTCTCGCAGCGGCCAGGGGTGGTGTAACAAAATATTGATAATCGACCACATCTGCCGTTGTTAATTTTTCTTTATTAAAAAAATATTGTGTTACGTATTATCTGTATTCTCTTCGTGGTATATGTTCATCAATTTTCATTCTCTATATCCACTGAAAAAAAAACATCCTAGCTTTGACAATTTTATTCATAAAATAACCACACTCCACATTCACTTTATTCCTCCCTGCGAACTAACCCTGAAGGTTTTTCGTTCAATCACGAAATCACTTTTGCTAATCCATGATATTGCATATCTCAAAACATCCTGTATGGATCTTGATGAATCCGAAACCATTTCGAGGAAACATATTATGGTTCATGTTTTTGCCGTCAGAAAAATTTATAAAAAATTATCCCGCTAACGGGGCGACCTCAAACTTTTCGGAAATTATCACACTTTCAGATATCATCCTGTAGGTGATAATTCTGAAATGGTGGAGAAACGTAAAAAAAATATGTAATAGCCAATCGACTGGGCAATCACAATCTCAAAACTAATCAAAGATCGGTTGATCTCATCCAAAGTTCACTGTTCGAAAACAAACAAAATGTTCGCTTTTCTCACTTCAAATGTGGAGCAGTTTATATATGGGGCTGGTTATTTATTTGAATCTATTCCGATAGATCTGTGGGCCTCCTTGGTACCCCGTGTCGACCACGCGGCCACCTTAGTCTCTCTACTGAGAGGTTTCATCTCTTGAGCAGGAGACGTTTTGAAGCCTCATCAGACGTT